GATAGGATTATATGTTTCAGTTGTGCGTGATTGCTAATAGGGTTACTTGTGATTGTAAAAACTTAGAAATCTAACAAAGGGCTTGGTTAATGTTACCATCCTGTTGGGTATAAAATGAGTCATTTTGGTGATGTGAGTGGGCTTTGCAATCCTTTTCTTGATTAACTAAGTTCTCCTCCATCTGATCTCCGTTTGTTAGGGCTGGAGCCAGTGGTCTGATCTGATTTGCCAGCTTCCACAGCCTTGTGAGTTAGCAGCCTGATTCTGTGTGAGTGAGGAAAAACCTCAAGACTGATAACTGATTTGCAGATTTGGGATTTACCAGTTTACACAACTGTGTGAGCCATTTCCTTGCTCCTTAGAAGTGAGGATGATCAGCCTTTGTCTTTTGGACTTTGGACATGTTGTAAGGAAGGCCCAATTCCTGGAGAAGGATATTATGCTTGGTAAGTGGAGGGTCAATGAAAAAGGCATAGTCGCAACAACAATGGGCTCAAACATATGATGGTGAGGACGGCACAGTACCGGGCAGTGTTTTGTTCTGTTATGTAAAGGGTTGCTATGAGTGGGAATGGAATAGATGCCATCTAAAACAACAACAGCAACCCTGCTTCATGAACAGAACAAGACAATTCATTTCCAAATGGGATTACAACCACCAGCATAGAGGTTAGGATTTACAACACACTTTGGGGGGACATAATTCAATCCATATTACCATTCATAACAATACTTAGAGACATATTTCATTCTTTTTAACAACGATATAACATTCCATTGGAGGAGTATGCCATAATTTAATTAACTAATTCTTTTTGATAGACATTTAGGTTGTTTCTACACTTTGGCACCCCCAAATTCATGTCCTCCCTACATGCAAATTACACTCACCCTGTCACATCATTCCAAAAGTCTTAAATCAGCTTCAAATCCAAAAGCTCATTGTCTGAATCATCTAAATCAAATATAGATGAGACTTTAGGCGTATCCCACCTAGGCAAATTCCTCTTCATGATGCTGTGAAATCTAGAGTACAGGTTGCATTTCCAAAGGAACAGATACAGGTAGACATTTTCATTACACATGGGAGAGATTGAAGGGAAAGAAGGGATAATGGGCACCAAGCAAGTCCCAAACCCAGCAGAACAATTTACACGGTAGCTTGCAAGGCTTGAACTTAATTCTCTGTTCTCAGAGACCATCTGGATTCTGGGTGGATGCCCTTCCACTCTGGGCTTCAGCCCCGCCTTCTAGATCCTCTAGGATGGCAACTCTGCTCCCTAGCCCACTATGCTACCAAGCCCCATTGGAGGAGTATGCTATAATTAAATTTAGCCCCATTCTCCTAGTCCATCTGCCTGGCAACCTCATTCCCTTGACCCCTTGGTCCGTTCTTCTGCCTAACAGGAATAGTAGCTCCACTCCCCTCAGCTTTGGGCAGGGGCCCTATCCCCCTGGCACATCTTATGAGCAACCCTACACTCTGGAACTGAGTTGATGAAGACAACAAGCAGAAATTAATTTTTTTACAGTTTAGGAGGCTAGACGTCTGAATTCAGAGCACCTCTAGGAGAAGGCTCTCTATCTCTGTTAGCTCTGGGGTGAGATCTTTCTGCTTCTGGGCAATATTCATGTAGATTGACTTCTCTGATTCTTTTGCTTACTTGTTTCATCTCTTTTATATCTCAAAAGAGATTGATTTAGGATGCACCTTACATGAATCTTGTCTCATTAACATAAAAAGGACAACTAATTCTCGAATGGATTATAACCATAGATATAGAGGTTAGGATTTATAACATCTGTTTTTAGGGAACATAATTCTATCTGTACACCATTCATATCAATACATAGAGACATAGCTCATTATTTTAAACAGCTGTTTAACATTCCATTGTAAGTGGTGGTGGTGTGCCATCGATTCAGTTCTGACTGGCAGATTCGAACTGCTGACTTTGCAGTTAGCCACCCAGTTCATAGCCCACTATGCTACCAAGGCCCATTGGAGGAGTATGCTATAATTTAATTAACCAGTTCCTTTTGATAGACATTTAGGTTTCCAGGCTTTTGTAATTAGTGGTAATGTTGCAATGAATGTACTCCTATATGGACATTAATATTAATGTAGGATAAATTACTGGTAGTGGAGTTCCTAGGTCAAAGGATATATGCATTTAAATTGTGGTAGTGGTTGCCAAATTATCCTTCAAAGAGGGTGAACTGTTTGATATTCCCATTAACAATGAAGAAGAACACCTTTCTCCACAGTGTGAATCTTTGCCAATCTGATATCTAAAAATGGTAGCTTACCTTACTTAGGTAAGTCCTGGTGTGATGCTGTGGGACAAAGGACTGAACTGCAAGAGCAGTTTGAACCACAGGGTTGGCAGTTCAAACTCACCAGCCACTCCTTGGAACCCTATACAGGTTCACTCTGAGTCAGAACCAAATCAATGGCACTTAACACCACCACCTTTTAAATTTACACTTCTATTATGAATTGTTTGAGTAACTTCATTTGTTTAAAAACAACTTATATTCCTCTAGTCTGAATTGTGGGTCATGTCCTTTGCCCATTTAATGTATTACTGTAATTTAATGTTTAACAATGAAGATACTAATTCCCTAATGTCATTTCCTCAAGAACCCCACAGAGGCAGAGAGAGGTTCCCTCAGACAGGTATTCTGGGTCTTTCACAAGTGCAACAAACTTCCTCTTGAAACTAATTGCTCCTACCCCCAAGACCGAGGAAATGTTCCTTTATCACTTCCTCAACATCCCACACCCTTTCCACAACTTTGTGTTTGTTCTCTCTTTGCTCTCCTCTGGGGTACTCTCTTCCCAATAAAATCTCTAATCCCATCTCTTCCAGCAGCTTCCATTAACAGCTAATGCCCACAATGCATATAATTTCCCTGTTATGTGAGCTTTACCACCACCCCAATAGAGCCTATGTCCCTGGAAGGCTGGACTTTTCACTTACTATAGCTCAACTTCCTGCTGTGTCCATGCTCAGCATGCAGGTGTGTCTGAGCATGGAGTAGAGGTGTATGTATATCTAAGGTATGGCAGGTATGACACATGCCCTGGATGCCAATTGAAGTGGGGTGCTGCTGAACACTTTCTGTTAATTATGGACAATTTCATGGCCATCTGTGAGGGATCATTCAGCAAGTTAAAACGAATACATTGGCATTTGAGAGCTTTCATGGGTTAAGGAAGGAGTGCTCGTAACATAGGGCATTACAAGTCGGTCTGCTAACCACAAGGTCAGCAGTTTGAATCTACTAGCTGCTCCTTGAGAGAAAGATGATGCTTTCTGCTCCCATAAAGATTTAAAGCTGCAAAACTGAGGGTTGCTATGAGTTGGAACCAATTCCTTGGCAAACCACTACCACCACCACCACCACCACCACCACTGGCTGAAGAGTAACACTGGTGGTACAGTGGTTAAACCACCTGGCTGTCAACCCAAAGTTTAGCAACTGGATTCTGCTTCCAAAAATATTTCCAGCCTTGGAAGCCCTATGGGGCAGTTCTCCTCTGTCCTGTAGGGTCACTGTGATCTGCAATCAGCTAGATGGCAGGGGGCTTGTTTTACAGGGTCAGGACGGACTGTGTGCTCTTACTTTGCTAGGTGTAAAAAGAGAAGGCTTTTCCTGGGAAATAAATGACTGGGTATATCACAAACCAGTTTCCATCAGTGAAAGCAAGGGATTTTTATGTGATGCCCAATGTATTAATAAAAGATTAATGAGTTTGACTCATATGCATACGTTTTGAGTTGATATTATGGTAAAGTTAGATAAAAGATGGGTGTCAGATATTTGGATGAGTGAATTGTGGTGTTTGCTGTAGGCACTATTTTCCATAGGCATGTCTCTGATGTACAGTACTTTTCCTTCACTCATTGGCATTTATTGATCACACATGTGAGTCAGGCACTGTTCCAGGAGCTGGGGAAACTGACACAATTCCTTCCTCCTCTCATCCAGCTAACATTTTAGGGGAGAGGGTGCTAACAGACAACAACTAAGAAGATAAGCAAACACACAGAGATAAGGATGTCAATTAAGTGCAAATGAAAAATGAGATAGTGAAGGGAGGAGGTGAAGGGTCTCCTTTGAACAGAGAGGTCATGCAAGGGAAGGCGCCAGTCATTTAGAGTCTCCCAGAGCCCCACTAGAGGCCCACCTAACCACTCTACTTCCCAACGTGCAGCCCACCTTTTTATCGCGGTAACTTGACAGAAGTTGAAGGCAGGAGAAATCCTGTGAGTCCTGTAACTTCAGGTGTTGTGTGTGTGCTTCATGTTCCAGTTAAAAGTTTGGGAAAATGAAATCATGTCTGATATATGCCAGCGGTTCCGGTGAAGTCCTTTGCACCACTGTTACCTCATTTAATGGTCACAACAATCCCGTGTGGTATTTGTAAGGAATTTTATTTTTACAAAGGAAGGAGCTGAGGTTCAGAATATGAAAGCAACCTCTTTAAGGTTGGATGCCTGATTAAAAAAGAAGTACAATTCTCGGTATAGAAGTTCTGTGGGAACCAGGAGGGATTTATGGAGGCATTCGGAGTGTTGGCTGTTTCTGGAGTTTGTCCTGTCCAACCATAGGGCCCCACACCGCCGCTGCGCCCCTGACAACTGTCCCTACGCCCTGCCCGGGTCTTGGGGGCAAAGAGGTGCGCGGCAGGCGGGCGCGCCCAGGCTGACGGGCCAGGGGCGGGGAAGGCATGGGGACAAAGGCCGCGGTCGCTGCGCTGGGGACGGCCTGTGAGCTAGTGAATTTCAGTGGCTGCACTGGGACTCCAGGAGCCCAGGACCTTGCGGCAGACTGGTGTCCTCGGAGCCCGCGACGTAATGGAGCGCCCGGGAGTCCCGCTTTGGCGGGTGGAGGGCGAGCCCGCCCCAACACGGTCCGCACCGCCCCCTCCTCCGCCTCCTCCTCCCCTTCCCGCGGCGGCTAAGGCGGCGGTGACTCGGAGCTCCGCGAACATGGCGGCGGCGGCGGCGGTCCAGCGGGACACTTTACCTGAACACTGGTCCTACGGCGTGTGCCACGATGGCCGCGTCTTCTTTATCAAGTGCGACGCGGGAGTGAGGAGTGCGGGCGGGAGCTTGGGGGCTGGGGCCCCGGCAGGCGGATGGGCGGGCGGGTGGGCGTCCCCTGGGCGGTGGCGGCGGCACCAACAGGTGCACCTTTCTTCCCACAGTGACCAGCTCCGCTGTACAACTTGGCTGCACCCGCGCACCGGGGAGCCAGTCAACTCGGGCCACATGATCCGCTCAGGTGAGTGGTGGGGCAAGGCGTGCTCAGGTGCGCGTGCAGTGGTAGTCCAAGTTTGACCCGACTTTTCTGGTATTCCTACAGATCTGCCCCGCGGCTGGGAAGAGGGCTTCACGGAGGAGGGCGCCAGCTACTTCATCGAGTGAGTGAATTGGGGCGCCGGCGGCCGCCCGGGGCCCAGGGGTTGGGGTGCGTTGGCACCTGTGCGGGTGGGGAGGGGGGTGGGGGTGCTGGCTGCTTCCCGCCGAACGCCGAGCCCTCTTTCCTTTCCGCGCGGGCCCGGGGCGAGTTGGCGCGCACAGCGCAGTGGCCGCACTTGTTTTGTGTGCTGGAGTAGTGTGGCGGGCTTAGGGAGAGAGGTGGAGAGGAGTCCGCATCTCCACTGGGGGCGTCCAGGGCAGGAATTGGGGCGCGGACCCAGGATCTGGTCCACTGAGCAGTTAGAAGCGGCAAAGTGTGTGCCTTGCAATCGGGCAGGATTGGGGTGCTGAATGAGTGGCCAGACACGCCTCCTCGTGGAACCCAAACCCTAATGGAACTGGAGTGGGGGCCGGGAGTAGGCCTCCCGAAGGGAAGACGAAGCAACTCTTCTTGGAAAGGCCTTCCGTTTGGCCGGTTCTTTGGGATAGTCGTGGAGGATTGTAACCGCACCCTCCCCACCCCCATCCCTCATCCTCTGTGCAGGCCTGGTGGTGGTGGGGGGTAGTGGGATTGAGAGGGGACCAACGATCAACTAATACTATTCGCTGAACTCTTCTTGTCTAGTTAGCTCACTCCAACCTCTGCTAGGCAAGCAGTAAGCTTACTTCAAAAACCCTTGAACCCCCACTAGCTAGGCTAATGCCGCTGACTTGGGTCTGTAGAAATAAGATAGAGGGACTGTAAGTTAATGTTCCAGTCAGACTCTAACACTTATAGAGTTCTTACTTTCCCTTTCCCTTCCCCCAAACCGCCTCAGGGCTGTACCTGTGTCCCAGCCTTTCTCACTCTGCTCTTCTCTGAGTTCCCTGAGGTCAGAAACTGCTTTTGATCCTTTGCCCTAGTGCCTGGCAAGGAGCATGCTCTGGGTAAATGTTTGTTCACTGAATGAATGAACCAGCCAAAGGTCTGACTGGTGGTCTGACTATTCCTGGGTGTACTTTTGGGGACTGAGTCAGAAGTCACGTTTTTTACTTGAAAACATTGCTAGTAGCATATTTGAAACAGGCATGGTCTCAGAAAATCCCAGGCTTCTTTTCTGGTTGGGTTCTGAGCTGAGGCCCCATACATGTTAGTTGATTTGAAATACTAAAGGATGTGCTATTGAAAAGAGGATTGGGGTAGTGGCTGTGCTGCTGTTGTCCTGTCCACTTGTCTTGTGTCTGTATGTGGAGCTGTCTGGGACCCTCAGGAGTTTCCTGCCAGTGGGCTCCTCTGACTTATAAGTGGGTCAACTATATTTATTAAATGCCTCTTTAAGTGCCAAGCATTTTTTTTTTTCTAGGCACTGGGACTGTAGAAATGGAATCAGACAGACAAGGCGCAGGTGCTCATGGTGCTTGCAATTTAGTGTGTGTGTGTATGTGTGTGTTTGTGTGTGTGGCACAGAGTATAAGATGTGGAAAATTGAAATAAGGTGGTGCAATATTAAATGATTTGGTTGCATTGGGAGGTCAGGGATGCTGTTTCTGAACAGATGACATTTAAACAAAGATTTGAATGACAAGAAGGAGCCATCCTTGTGATGATGAAGGGGAAAACTTGTAAGAATAGAGAAGAGCCAGCAAGGCTGCTAAAGCACCACGTTCTAGGAGCCTCATGTTCAAGGCATGGTCAAGGGAGAGAGTGGTACAAGAAAAGGTTAGAGGTAGGAGACAGTGTGACTTTGTGAGCCAACGTAAGGAATTTTTAAACTTTATTCTATGCCTAGTGAGAGAGTCCTGGTGTGGTGCTGTGGGTTAATGCGTCAGACTGTAAAGCCATTTAAACTGCAAGGTTGGCAGTTCAAGCTCACCAGCTGTTCCTTGGAAACCCTAACAGGGTTGCTATGGGTCGGAACTGACTCTATGGCACTTAACAACAAGCCTCGTGTGTTTTAACCAGGAAGTGTCATTTGTTTTGCAGTTTTAGAAAGATCAGTCTGCCTGCTGTGAGGAGAATAGACTGTACATGGGCTACTGTAGGAAGGCAGGAGAGCAGCTGGAGGCGCTGCTAAAGTCTAGGCAAGAGTTGTTGATGGCTTGCTTGACTGAGAATGTTAGCACTGGAGAAGTCAGAGTCTGGCTGGTTTAGGAAGTCGGCATACACTCTACAGACCTTCCTGATGCACTGTGAGAGGAAAAGAGAAGACTTGGTGTGGGGGTTGTGGGTTAATGTGCGGGGCTGCAAAGTTGGTTTGAACTTCAAGGTTGGTGGTTCAAGCTCACCAGCTGCTCCTCGGAAACGGCCACTATGAGTTGGAACTGACTTGATGGCACTTAACAATAATAACACAGTGACTCCTAGGATTAGACATATTGTCAGGAGGGAGCAGTCTCTGGAGAAAGATACCATGTTTGGTAAGGTGGAAGGTCAGAGGAAAAGAGGAAGACCCCCAACGAGATGGATTGGCCAAGTGGCAGCAT